TATCTTCAATCTCGCGTTTATACTTGAAATATTTCTCCTATTTACAATATTCCGTTCCTTTATTCAATGTGGATGGACTGTGTATGTTGTTCACTGGATTTTTTTATAAAACATGTTATCTTGAAAAATAGGCGAACAAATTTGTCACACCTACGATATACGCAAAGATCCGCAGTCGATTATTGAGGTGCAAGTTTTTCTTGATCTTCTCTGACTGTGAGAAGCTTAGAGGAATCAACTTTCGTCCACATTCCGCAAACTGGGACGGAACTCTTCGAAACGCAACATCCTTCCATTCCACGACATAGTACCGATCTCTCAGCCAACTTTCGGCCAACGAAGTGAAACTAAAAATATCGTCAGCCGGGCGAATTTAAAGATTCATTCTCCAAAACGTAGAAGCAATACTTACACATCAATCAACTGAAAACTAACGTCACGCTAACGATAATTTAGACTTCTCGGGTGTGTAAGTCTCGAAAAATTTATCCCCTCGACTAGAGCACTTTATTTTGCGAATGGTACATTCACACCGACGAGAAGAAACTAAAAATACCATCAAACTTCTCGAAACTTCCCGTACAAACAAATATAATAAACTCGAGATCCATCAACCTCGAGGCGAAACTTCTTTATTCCGCGATTATTCGTCGGAGCACCGATCGATTGCCCAACTTTTTACAAGGAAACCCGCTCCTCATATAAAATGTGCCCACATATCCGTGAAACGTCATCGATCTCCCCGCGAAGAAAAACGAATCCTCAACTCGTAGAATTTCGTTTCTGTACGGAAGAACAGAAGATTTCCTTTCCTTCAGGGTAGAAAGACACTCGTTCTCTAAGCAAACGGACTCGCTGGAACACGTTGGTCGGATTTTTTGGAACGTATTTTAATATATATTTGTTTTTTTAATATTATTAATAACTTTTTTTTTTGTACGTGGATGAAATCTTCATAAGACACCTGAGTCTTTTAAGGGAAGACCTAAGTAGTGTCGGATTTTTACTGACTAAAACCTTCACACGATGGCCATCCTCCACACGCTGGGAGCTTTTTATACACACAGAGCTCTCCTGTGCTATTGTCCTAAAAGGACAATGTCTTTTTTTTTTCGCCCAAACAGGGGCTCGAACTCAGGACCCTCAGATTACCGACTGAGCTATCCCCATCTCAATAGTTTTAATAACTAATAATTTTGTAATTAAATGAATTATTTATGAGTTTTCGATAATTTTATTAATTAGATTATTGAATATTATAAAAGATTCAACCAAAATAATTAAAATTTTATATTATTCAATTTCATCGTTGTCTTCAATTATATTAATATTTTTCATTGTTATTTATAATAATTTAACTTTACTGTCATTCTTACATTCTAAATTTCTTAATGAATTTTATATTACTTACATTATTTATTAAATTAAGGATATTTCCATTTCATAATTGAATAATTTATTGTTATGAAAAATCATCTTGAGAACAAATTCTTTCTTTATTACCATCAATTGTAAAATTTATTCCTAATTCATTTTTTTTTAAATTTTTGAAATAGGTATTAGATTACTGGCCGGATGCGTAACACGTGTCCATCGTCGACGGAAATTTCCTCCCTCCAACCGGGGGGGAGAGGGAAACGTTTTTCCTAACTGAACGCGCGCGTCGTCGCTTTTCTTCTCCCCTCTCCCCTCGGTATCTGCTTGTTTATCCTGGTTAACTCGGCGTTATCGTCGCCGAACGAAACGGAACGAGCGAGCTTCCACAATGACGGAGCTCGCGTCGCGCGGAGAAAAACCACGGAGGACAGTGTCGTCTTTATTTTCGTTCGTTCCGCCTCACGGTTTATCGTCTCTCCTGGCACGCGTCCCATGCCGAGTATCTTTGCTCCTTTTCTCGCGTCTCCCTTTTTCCGCTCGGTTTTCCCTTGGTTTCCTTTCTTTCTTCTTTCCTTTCTACGGTCGCGGGCTGAGGATAACCGCGAGTCTTTCGTTTTCACCACGACGGCTTTCGGTGCGTGGATCGGTGAAATGGGCATTTTGAGGTAATTCCTGGTGGTTTCTGTGTTTCATTCGTTACACGACGACGGAAAATTGTCCATTGTTTTATTAGTGTTACGAGTCTTCGCATTAAAAAGAAAATCTCGTTTTTTTTTTTTTTTGTTTTTCAAGGATGATTGAAAAATCGTCGAACGAGTGGAAAAGTGAGGATATATGTTTTTAAATTTAAGAATATCCAAAAAAAAATTTTCCCGTAATTAGGTCCACCATCATTTCGAAGAATGAAATCTCTATGAACTCTTAAAACTTGTTATACGATTTTTCTTCGCCATTTTATTGAACTTTGAATACAAAAATTCAAGACATCCTAACGTTTCGTTATTTAATCCTCGTTTTCAATATTCAATGAAACAGTAAAAAAAAAATCGGTAAGTTTCAAGAGATCGGTGCAAAAAGAATGTTTCGTTGAATAAAATTTTTTATCATTTCCAAATACGTTTGAATTTTCGAGAAAAAAAGTATCTTTATTTGCCCACCTGACGTGATGTAAAATCATCTTTGGAAAAAAAAAATGAATTAAAGATTCTGAAAGCACAGATCTTAAGCTTTAAAGTGATCCTTTTTTTTCTTTCTTTCTTACTTTTTTTACAAAGTTATAAGAGTCTAAATTATCGACATTTTTTGTTGGTTCTCCACTGTATCTCTTTCTTCGTTTTGTCTTGAATATCACTCCTTCCGTAGAACATTCAGAAATTTTTTAATTCATCACAATGATTATGTCAATGCAAATATCCGTATTGGTAGAATAAGTTTGGAGTAATTGGAATTTTTCAACGCATCGGGAAGAAAATTTGTTGTCATGAACAATATTGGTTGAAATAAATGCTACAGAGAAAACGACGATTTCGTACACGAAGATGTTAAATTATTATAAATGAGAAAAATTCGCAGAGTAAATAGTAACTTTCGAAGAAGTATAATTAGAGCTCTTGTGGGAAACACCGTATCAAGTATCAAGAGAAATGTTATTATTTATTTAAATTTGTTCATAGATTACTCGTATATAGAAATGCAAAAATATGTCTTTTTTTAAATATATTATCTTTATTTTGAAATAAATATTGTATGTATTAGAATGTAGCAATGACTGAAAATTTGATGTTTGACATTTTACAGCGTTTTCTACAAGGACTCTCCAATTACAGTTTATGGTTTCATCTTATCTTCTTGTTAATTCACAATTAATTATTATTCGAGTCACCGCGAGTCGAGATTCAAAGGTGCTTCATTCAAACGTGCGTTCCTGGTGCGTTCACGCGATAAAGTGGAGAATCAATGGTATTTATCACTCGAGATACAAACTGGAAAATTGCAAATCGATCGCCAAAAAAATCTATTATTACACAATCACGTACAACACCCACGTCGGGAACAAATCATTTTAAAATAACAATACGAAATTCTCCTCCCTTTGAATAACTTTATCCAAATAAAACAATGGATCATCGAAAGAACCCATTACCATACACCCACGCCGAAGTAAGCTTTCGAATCACAATGAAAAATCCACTCACCAAAATAAAACATTCAATCGTCAAAAAATCTACAACGTCCGTGCCGTTGTAAAAGAGACAAAATAATAATATTGCAAAAGAGATGAATGAATCTATATGATATCATCTTGCAATCGTAAGAATATTGAGCATCAAAGAGAGCCTTCAAATTGTTAAAACAAAATAATAATTTGCAAAAAAAAAAAAAAAAAAAAAGAAAGATTACACTGCGAATTTTTAGGCATTTGCGGGGAAATTTAAGGGTGCAAGAGTGCAGAAAATGCGCGCGTTGTGGAGAAATAAATAACATGTAGGAAACAAGCAATATTTTATAATATTTAATAGGAGAAGTGAATTCCTAATAATTAGTCCTAATGATTTAAGAAATTTATTACATGTACAGTCGTATTCATGCTAAGAAAAAAAAAAAAGAAAAAATTGATCGCTTGAATAAAACAGAAATCTATCGTCCTAATACAGACCGATCCGATAATACTAGCATTCAAACTATCTTCTTAATAACTCAAGTAATGATCATTCGATCGTGTCCGACATCCACGTTACGAAGGATAACTTTCAAACTTTCAATACAAAGTCAGTCGATCTCCCAACAGAACTAAACCTCGCGGAAAACTCTAAAGGCAGGATAAACTAAAAGGAATCGTAAAACGAAATTAGCAGTTTGGCGGCGGTCGGTGGGAATTCGACGGGCGCTGGTGGCGCGGCCGATCAGGGGAAGAAGAAAGGGAATGCGGGCGTGGAACACAGCGAGTTGTGCGAGACGGGGAACGGACTCGACGGTCTGGACGGTCTGGACGGGAACACGGAGTGCAGTTTGGAAGAGATCAGGTCGTGGGGCTCGTCCTTCGACAAACTGATGAGGAGCCCCATCGGCCGTAAATTCTTCAGGGAGTTCCTGCTCAGCGAGTACAGCGACGAGAACATCGCGTTTTGGCTGGCCTGCGAGAACCTGAAACGCGAGGACAATTCCGAGAAGATCGAGGAGGACGCACGGTACATCTACGATCGTTACATATCCACTGTCTCGGAGAAAGAGGTTCGTTCCGTTCGTATGAATTCACGTTGCAAAGTCTTTGCTTTGTTCTCTAATGTATTTCGTATTTTAGAGAACAAGTTTAATAAATTTCATAATTTAATTTAATTCGTAAATTTTATGAATTTGTTATGATATGTATTTGATTTAATAATTCATATATTTCTATATTTCACAAATTTATTATATTTTACAACCAGACTGTGGATTTTTATGTACTTTATGGGAAATTTTTAACGTGCGAAATTGTACATAACGTGACATTCATAAAATGTCCAAGAGATTTATCGTATCCTAAAAAATAATAAATAATAAATTCGCATAAAACTCCGCCGTCTACTCATAATTATCATCATTAATAAATATTTCTATAGATTTCTATAGAATTTCATCGTTTCGTTAATCCAAGTCTTGATTCATTGGAACAAAATTTTCGTTAACGGACGATTAATCGAATTTTCCTCGGATGAGTTAACTACGGGTTTAACAGTAGAACTGATCCGGCAACAACCTAGTTACACTTCCTTTCTGTTGTGCAGTTATAGCAACGTGTTTGTTTTCGGTGAAAGAACCAAGTAACACATCTGCCGCGACTACACGTTGTAATCTGCAGAATGCCGTAGAAATGCATCGTTATCGCTTTCGTTATCGCGAGTCAAACAACGTCGTCGCTTCACCTGAGAAAACTTAGTCCGATCGCAAATAACCGTGGAGAGACATTTGCGTTTCTTCAGAACAGACAATGTCTCGAAATTATATTTCAAAGAATAAAACTTGACCTGTTTTACACGTCTTCCGAATATACGCAAAGTTCGTGAAATTTTAAAATTTTTAAAACTCACCGCCATCTTGAAATTTCGCTTCATCTAATGACTATAGCCTTACAAATTAATTAATTTAACAGAATTACTGGAATTCTAAAATTCTGAAAGTTATTCCCATCTTTAACATGCATCTGAAATTTCGCTTGATTCAATAACTATAGTCTTCCGAATTACGTAGAATTGCCGAAACTTTAAAATTCTAAAACCTAAACCTAACTTAAACCGCGATCTTTGAAGTGTATAGGAGATGTCGCTTCATCTAATGACCATAGCCTTCCGAATTAATTAATTAATTCTAAAATTCTGAAACTCATCGCCCACCTTTAACTGATCTGGTAACGATCAGTACGTAGAATTGCTGAAATTTTAATATTCCAAAATTCATCCCGATCTTTAACGATCGTTTGATATTCCGTTTGATCCAATGACTATAGCCTTGCGTAGAATCACCGGATAATAATGGAATAATATTAGAAACTCTTTCAACATCGATCTGATCACTTTCAGGTGAGCCTGGACTCGCGAGTGCGCGAAATAGTGAATCGTAACATGGTGCAGCCGACGCCGCACACCTTCGACGAAGCCCAGCTGCAGATCTACACGCTGATGCATCGGGACTCGTATCCCCGTTTCGTGAACAGCGAGCTCTACCGGCGTGTGGCGAGACTCGGCACAGGGACGACGGGCGCGAGCAATCAGGAACACGGCAGCGGTGGCACGGGCAAATCGAAGGGGAAGAAGGACACCACGTAATCGCTTGTCCGACGGCAAAAACCAACGATGGGGTGGCAGCGGACCAACAGCCTCCGTCTCTCAGCGGGTAGCCCCCGAGGCGGCACATCGGGGGACGCCGCGACGCTGTCAACGCTGGCCGATGACGACGAAAGCCGGAGGACATCGGCGCCAAGAAACGACGAAAGCAAAAGTTTCAGCACCGAGGTGTCCGCGCCTTGACGAATCTCTCTCACACTCACACACACGCATACTCTCTCTCTCTCTCTCTCTGTCTCTCTCTCTGTCTCTCTCTGCCCTAAGTGGTAATCGAGCGAATAAAGAAGAGAAAAGAAAAGAAAGAAAGAGAAAGAGAAACGAGATACAAACAAATAGGATAAAAAAAGAAGAAGAGAAGAGAACCGAGATCTCGAGCAGATTGTGATGAGATTTCGAGGTTTCTCTCCTTTCGTCTCGAAGGGAAGAGAACGAGAGGAAGGGGAATTAAATATGCTTCTCGAAGCGAAACTCGCGACTCGCTCTTCCACGCGACGCCACATCGGGGCCAACGTGCACGAACTTGACGATGGACTGAACCAAATAAACACAAAACGTAACGTTGACGAAGAGACGAAGAGGAACGGGCACGAGGAAGTGGAGAGGAAGAAGGAAGAACGCTTAGAAAAAGGAAAGGAAGAGGGAAGATGAGAAAGAGGAGCACGCTAGAATCGCGTACATCGTGTGACCTACGTTGATCTACGTTGGACTCCTCCTTCCGAGACATTGTCGTACACACGCACGCTCGTTCACGCGTCACGCACCAGTTATAGATCGTGGAATCGAAAACACAGAGAGACATATATATGTACATATATATTATATATATACATAAACATACACGCGGGTCGGTCGGGGATGATATTCATCTTTCAAGGAAGTTCCTAAGTTCCATCGTCTTTCGCGACTGATCGTCGCCGATGATCTCTCTCTCTCTTTCTCCCCCTTCATGCTCACACGTGACCAGCCCGACACCTCGCTCGACGCATGAATCAATCGTATCTTCTTTGTCTCTCCCCTCCCTCTCATTTCTTTCTTTTTTTTTCTATCAACCCTCGTTTCTCTTCATCCCCTTATTCTCTCTTTTCAATCCCCCCCTCTCACTCTCTCTCTCTTTCTCGCTCCGTTCAGCTAAAAAATTCCCTTTCATCGTATTCGAGTCAGCGAATGTAATCACTACGCTAGGGACTCGAGGAAATTTTTCCCGATAATCGTTAAAATTGCGATCACTGTTCAAAATTCGGGGTTGTTCGCGCGGCGACTCGACATTGGCGAGTTCGCGGTTTCGTTGTCAGATTTACGTTTAGGTTCACAGTCTCTCGAACGCGCGAGAGAATTCGTTTTAGCACGTAATTTTGTAAGATTTCGCCAGCAACGATTGCCTCGATTGCGCGAGAGCAACCCGATGCCATTCGAATTTCAGCGTTTCTGTGATCAAAAGTCGCGCGAGACAGCGGCATCTTGCAACGTTCTTGTACGTTCTGAGAAACGAAAGATCGTCGCCACGAAGCAATATCCGTCGCTGGAAACGATCGTCGCCGACAAGATCGATAATCAGATAATTGCTCCGAGTCCGCCGGGGGAAAAGTGGGAGAAGCGTAACGAGGCTCTCACGATACAAGGAAAACACTCATTTCTCAAATTCGTTCCTCCGACGATGAAACGAATCTCTTCGGTGAACGGAGAGGCAGAGGTTCCTTTCATGGGAAAAAGGAGCGACGTTATTTCGTTCGGTCTTACTTGTAATCCGACGGACGAACTCGAGAGAGAAATCAACGGATGACTCGTCCAGTTCGTCTCGTCGCCGATCGCGTCTTCTGCAACTGGGACCACGAACAGACACAGATCGACAAGTGATTTATTAGCGAATAAAATAAAAGATTGAAGAGCCTCGTTCGAGATGGTGGAGCGCGTTGCACGACGCTGAGACATCAGATCGGAAGAAATAACTGAGATCGTTAGTCGTAATTCAATTTAGCGGAGGCGCTACGCTGATCGTCGTGAAGTATTTTATTAACATCGCGATAGCGTCGTTAGAAACGACCTTGAATC